ACCTCATTGTTGAGGTCCAGCCCCGATTGAAATGAATGTATTTGTGTCGTTTTAATTTGTCTTTATTTTATTTTTATTTTATTTTCTCTTCTGTAAGCCGCCCGGAGTCCTTCGGGATTGGGCGGCCTATAAATAAAATTAAACCTTAAAACCTTGGCAATGAATTTGTACAATCTCCTTCATTTTAGGAGAAAACTAGCTCAAGTACAGGTGGCCTATCACCAACTCTTCCAGGAGTACGATGCCCACATCAAAACCAGCTTGGAAACTGAGAAGCGAAGCAAGGTGGGAGGCATTTCATGTGTTGTAATGGGGAATCTTGACGCTGGGGATGAGTGGGAGCCAGAATACGGGAGGGGGAGGCAATTTTCTCTTGCCCCAGGGGGGAAAAAAAAGGTTTCTTTGCACAGAGTGTCAACATTGCCTCTTCCTCAGAGCTTGGATATGCAACTTGCCGAACTGTCTCAGCAAATGCAGCAGGCCGAGGAGGCTCTGGTAGCCAAACAGGAGCACATTGACAAGCTGAAGGATGATGCTGAACAGCACAAAACTGTCATGGAGACCGTGCCTGTGCTCAAGGCCCAGGTGAGTATGATGTCACTTTGCTAGAAAAAGAGACCGGGATTCCTATGTATTTGGGAGTGGTGCAGCACGAGTGATGGGAGAGCCACTCTGATCTCATAGTTAAGGTGCTGGCCTAGACGCCAGGAAACGGCAAGTTCTAATTCTGCCTTAGCCATTGAAAGCCAATTAGGGGACCTTGGACCAATTACTCACTCCCAACACAACCCACATCACAGTTGTGGGTAAAATAGGAGGAAAGGTGCATTATGTTTGCCACCTTCAGTTATTTATAAAGTAATAAAGGTTGGATGAAAACCAAATATGTAACAACAGCAATAGCATTCTGTTCTAACCCGCCTAGTTCCACACCAAAGGACACTCCGAGCCAGAGATAAATTACGGCATTTAATTAACAGACAAACAGGTCCTTTGGCAGCAACCCGGCACAGACAAGCTTGGGCAGCAATAAACACAGGTAAGGCTTGGCAGCAGTCCAGCCTGCCAAGCTCATACGAAGTTCTCCGACATTCGATCCCGTATTGACTTCTGCAAAGAGGGGCATGTGCACAAGTAGTCTTTTTATAGTCTGGAGAGGAGCCTAATGACCACCAGCTGAGTGCAATTACCTCCTGTAACTGCGCAACTCTTCTTGACGCCTATTAGCTCTTCGATGGCATGCATCCAGGAACAACTTACTACTGTCGTCTGGCTCACTCTCCCTTGTCTCCTCCCCACTGGTCCAAGGCTCAGGCGCCTCCTGGTGGCCAACCAGCCTCTCTGTGCCCTGCTCGGAGTTGGAACCCTGTCCAGGGTCTTTAAAATCCTCCAGAGCCGACTCATAGGGCCCCTCGCAGTCGGAGTCTAGTGGCATCTCCAACGGCTCCTGCTGGGCCACAACACATTCAGGCTTACATGCCACTTCACAGTGCTTTACAGCATATTGCTCCCAATAATCTGGACCCTCATTTTACCAACCTTAAGGCCGTCAGGATTGAACTCCTGGCAAGTGGGAGTTCTAATCGCTGTGCCACAAGGAGTGTTATCCTATCTTTCCCATTCAGGCTGATATCTACAAGACAGATTTCCTGGCAGAGCGCCAGGCACGTGAAAAGCTACACGAACAACGAGAGTTCCTGCAGGAGCAGGTTGCCCAGTTGCAGAGGGAGAATGAGAAGCTGAAAGCCGAGTTTGAAGGACGGTGAGTAGGTTAGAGGATGGGAAAGAAAGAAACCCTTACGCCTCTGGAATAGAGCCATTTTTATACCCCAAGTAATATTTTGTTGGCGTCTGTAATCAGAGGCAATACAGCTCACTATTCCTCCACCATTTCCTAGAGAAAGCCATTCTGGTGCTCTTTCTTGTCTACCTAGGGCTCTGATGGAAGAGATGAGAAATCGCCATTCAGAAATGCGTCCATCTCCTCAGCCGAGTAAGTGTTGACACTTAATTATTTTGCAACAATCTTCACTGATTTCAGAGGGTGGCAAATTATAAAACAGGGCAAAAAAAAAAAAAGTGCTTTGCGAGCACTTTGGCAGTGAAGATGCAACAGGTGCCCACGACTCTTTCAATCCAATGCAGGATCAGCTAGAGCAGCAGAAATAGGATTTAAGGGCTATATGAGCATTCCCACAGAAAGATCAACCTGATAGGACCGGAGGATTTAGATGTTTGTTTCTTTTAGCAAAGATGTAAGTTTTTTCACTTTGCAATGTAGGCAAAATGACATTTGAAAGTAGGAAATAGATGCTCTTAAAAAATCAAAGGCAGCCAATCTTCGGACAGTGTATTTGAGCTGTGTAGTTCATCTTTTTTTACTGTTATATGAAGTAATGAATCTTCCCTGTGAGTTTGAATTTGCCCTACTTCTTCTCTTCAACTTAAAAGATCCAAATCTATTGTCAAAGTTCGTAAGGAAATCAAGTTAAATTTCCTGAAAAATTGGGTGCTATTTCAGTAGTTTGAGGGCATGTGGCAAGTATAAAACTGAAGAGATTCAGATAGGTGTTTACTAATGTTTTGCTGCTACTAGATTTGCAACGAGTAGTTCAATATATATTTTTTGCCACTTACTCTGATATATATGAAAATAGTAGCTATCTTGGGAGAAACTCTTGCTTTCACTGGAAGCAAAATAATAAATAAAATGGAAATTAGAAGCTTCTGCAGCTAAATTGCAGCAATGTTTTCAGCACTGAAACTTTTTGCTATTTCTTTCCTTTGCAATCTGATTTCAATCTTATTGCAATAGCACTGTTCACATGGCTGTCAGTACTTCAAACTCTGGTAGCTTCATTTTTAATTCTTTTCCTGATTTATAGCATCTGATTTGCTTTCAATTCTTGCCATAGACAATATTTTCATTGAGGTATAATTTTTTTCTTGTCATTGGCACTTTGGAGCTTGACATATGGGGGATGAGATATAATTCGCTTCCATATATAGAATTTTACATCTTTGTTCACCAGAGAACCCTCTTTTCAACGTTAAGTGAAGGATGTGTGTGCTCTAATAATTTGATATCCCCGCAGTCCTTGTTAGGTTACTGCTAACTTTTAATTTCTGAAAATTAGGTCAAGCAGAGTGGTGCTCCTGTGCATCCAGTAGGCTCCTGCCTCTTTAGTATTTTAAAGATTTTATCTTTTGAAGAGAAGTACTTGCCTCCAAGCATCAGCTTTTATTTCAAATAACTTTGAGCCTCACTGGCAGTCTTGAGAAAAAAAAATTGTTGCATGGCTGCTGCCCCAATTCTTGTGGGCAGCTTTGGAAGTGTGCAGTGCTATCCTGAAAGAAACAGAAAAGTAAACTGGATTGTAGCAAGTATTCTGGGGTGTTAAAGAGGATGGTAAAAATCCACCTTAGGCAGTTTGCTTTCGGGAGTTTTATGGCCAGACACGTAGCAATATTATAGTCTCATCCATTTACAAGCTTAAGAACAACCCAAGAACAATAACAAAGTAATATTTCTGCTCCAAGTATGTACTTGGGGGAACAATTTGTTTTTCTTAACTAAATATTTAGACCAGTTCTTGCTTGCTGTTACTTAACCATTTACCCAAGATGGGCTATCCGCTTTTCTTATGTCTATATTTATACTGGATGGAGCCTTTCGTGGAATTTCCTCAAAGTTCTCTTATGCTGACTATCAAAATCAGTATAAAACTCAAGACACACTCGGAGAAGTCAATAAGCCTGGACAGGGAACAAGTTGTTCCCGGGACTCTATTAGCACAATTTTATTCTTTATCATAGATCTTTTTGCATCAAAAATCACATTAATATGTTGAATCCTCCGGAATCTGCTGGATTTTCTGTATACTTAGTAATCCGTTTTTTCTTCCCAGTGGAAAGTATAATGGCCTGTAATTTCCTGAACCTTTTAAAATTGTTTTCTTCTCTGAAAAGTAGTTTTCTTTATATTGCATGTAAACTGTTGCTAGCTGATTAATATAGTCCAGTAGATTTTTTTTGTCAGAAAGCCTTTCCATAGAAAGGATTTTAAAAAAAATGCACTTCTCACTTCTCTGTAATACATCACATCATGGTATATTGTAGCAATTGTACCTTTGGACTGTTTAATCACTGCATCTATTAATTCAGTGTAGAACTAAATCTGTGTTTTTCTTGTATTTTTACCAGATTATTCTCCTTTTCATAATTCACTAAACACTGCCATCATTGTTAGAGAAGAAGCAATTATACAGTATACTCAATTTGCTAATTTACTCTTCCTTCCCTTTCCAGATTTCTTGATGGGCACGACCCCATTCCATCCCCAGAGTGTAACAGGGCGAAGACAAAATGTTCTAGAAGAACAGCCTATCCACTATTGTCCCAAATGCCAGTATAAAGCTCCAGACATGGACACCCTACAGATCCATGTCATGGATTGTATCCAGTGACAGTAAAGAAGAAGAAGAAGGGGAAGCTCCAGGCTGATGTACATTTGCATTGCTTTAAACAGAACCAGCAGTTCAGCTGCCAATCCTGGAACAAAAAGCGTGGACTCTTTACTTTCTGCTCCCCTGTATGTCATTAACTTTTTTTCCTCTTATAATGGCTGAGCCTACTACTGACCTTGTCCCAAGCGTGGCTATTACAGCCACAGGGGAAAAAGGGTTGCACTATTCTAGGTTTTGTGTAAAGCAATCTTTTCAAGTGCTTTTAATTCAAGTGTGCATCAGGGATACCAGGGATTAAGTCATTCCCTCCGAATAACAAGTCACATGCCTATTAATCTACCAGTAACTCATTTCATGGATGATGGGGGGAAATCTCCTTCCCTATAAAGACTACTGCTCCTCTTTGTCCCACATCCCAGTAAGATTTTAAATGTCTTAAAACAGTTCCATAAGCCATAATGAGGTAATTATTTTATCTATAAAATAAAAAGGATAGAGGGGTTTTCTTCTGCTTTCTAAGAGAGCTTAAAAATGAAATTGCTTGCAACCAATCTTTAGGCTGAAAAGGTATTGTATGACTCTTTCATCTTAAGTCAATTAAAGCAACAATGAAGATGATAATCAGTGATTTTCCTACTTACACCAGGTACCTCCCCCTTCTAGGACAATAATGTGTTAGCACTCCATCCTTTAGAAATGAACTTTTTATTAACTCAATCACCCATAATTTACAACCAAAGCAATGATCCATGAAGCTGAGCTTGGCACTGCTCCTCTAGGATTCCTCCGCTCCTCCAAGACCTTTGTAAGGTTTTCAGGGAGATGCTTCATGAAGAGAAGAGAGGCCTCTAAACTCAGCCAAATGGCTTTTTAAGTCACCCACCCTCCTTTTAGATCAGCTGCTCAGTCTGACCAAAAGTTGGGAGAGCTCAATAGGCAGAATTATTCCAATAAATAATTTGAATTACCATATTCTCCATATCCACCATGCTAGCAATTTTACCTGCTTTGCAGGAGATGATTTCAAAACTAATAATCTCAGATAACAGGGAGGAATCGGCCATCAATCAATAAGGAGATAAGTTCTGGGCAATTTGTGCTGTAGAAACGTTAAGACTCTACCCAGGACTTCAGAGTGTTGCCCCTTTCAACTGCAGAGTTGACAGTGGGGAGAAATCATTTTCCCTTCTCAAGATGCAACTTCAGGGCTAGCACTAGAATTGTTATCCTGAGGGGAAGCACTAGCTCCCCGTGGGGTGACTTCAATAATACGAGGTTTATCAATGATGCGAGCTGTCTGGTTGCCCTTCTCCACAATGCCAATGATCCAGGCTTGGTGTCCTTCTCCGTATTTAGGTGACTTTATTTCGGCACAGAAGCGGGCAGCTTGCTCCCGGGGTAGACAAATCAGCAGCCCCCCTTGTGACAGAAAAACAGCAAATTAGAATCATCAGAAAAACGATCGTTCCTCATCCCTCCATAACCACAGTGGATTAACCTAAACTCTTACAATCCACTAAATTAATGCTACACAAAACAGATAAGATTTCACAAAGCTCAAGTTTTTCCACACAAAAGCCATACCAAATTATTCCAACACTGTTTTGCTTTGATTTAACCAGTTGTGGGAAGACTAGGGAAGTAATTTTGTTATATGTTTGGAAATCTGCCATTCTTGCTGATGTTACTACAAGTCATTTAAAGGTGTCCCACAGAATCCAGGCCTACATTTGGCTTGTTCCTTGCCTAGTTTATCCAACTTACCAGAGGTTTCTGGAGAAGTCCCTTGGAGGAGCCTGGACCGGTTGCCGCATGCTTTGCTAATAGCAGCCATCTTGGCAATGATGGGTAGATTATGAATGACAAATGAGACCTCGCTCCGCTGCTGCTTGGCCAAGTTCTGTGCATGGCCCAGAATCCCAAATCCTGTAATGTCTGTGGCAGCATGGGCATTGAAAGTATGCATCAAACTGGCAGCTGACGGGAGGAACAAATGTGGCATAAGTGATAACAAAATAACAATTAAGCCTGTACAGTGTCTAACTGCTATCTGTCCTAAAACCAAAACAGCAAGAATCATTTATTATCTAGGGCTGATTTTTAATAGGAGGCATCTGAAGTTGGTGGCAGCAATATATGCCCAGAAGGATACAGCAATTAATTCACATAAAAGGTGGATTTATAGCTGTTACATATTAGGAAGCTCCCAATAAAAACAACTTCTTGCATTTCTAGCTATTCTACCTCTGATAGCATATTAATATAATTACTGCTCAATTATTTTAATTTTGCCTCTATAAGCCAATGAACTGTAATTTTATAATTCCAGAAATGTTACCAAATCACATGTGGCGAAAACCTTGCGATCGTTTCACATAGTTTGTTTAGTTTTTTTTGCAAGTCCAATAATGCTCAAAATATCTTGCCGTAGTACATTAAGTACTTTAATTGTCATGTTTTTAACTGTTTCCCTAAATAGGGTTTTGTAGGGAGATACGGTTGAATGCTATCTGTGAAAATAAAACAGCTCTTGTACCAGAGGTTGTCTGACCATCCTCTTATGCGCCCCTTTAAAGAACAGAAGTAAGATGTTTAAATATGCAGAGCCAAGGCAACCTGTTGCAAACTGAGTAAAGATCCAAACCAATATTTAGGCCCCTACCTGTTCTGTTCAGCATGGCCATACTAAACATGGCTTCCTGGTAGGCCAATTCAACGTCTTCTTTGGAGACCACCAGCTTAATCTTATTCCACCGCTCTGGCTGGAAGAACAATACAAGCATTTGAAATGGCTCTGAGGTTTCACTCCTCCCTGGCAGAAGAAAGAATATCTGCCAGTTCATCATGACGTCAAGACTCCTTCACTCTTGGATACAAAAGGATTTAGTTGGGATTTTAAAAAAAAAACTTTCCCCCTGTTATTTACCACCTTCTTGTGCAGTAATTGATAAGATTTTGGATGGGAATACAGTATTCTAAAGTCGCCTTGCAATTTGGAGCCTGTTCTCAGAAAGTGTTCTGCGCTTTTCGTTGTGTGTATGGGAGTGGGGTTAATTTTCTCTCTATTGGTATATATAAACACAAAGAGATATGCCCATTTCCCCATGGATAAATACTTACATTATCTAACCACTGGTGAGCATTTACAGCCACTTGAGTCCCCAGAGGCTTGGTAAGCACAAGGACATCTCCTGGAACTGCACTGTCTGGCCTAGAATCAAAGGAATAAGAATCCCAACATTTTTTAAAAAAAGTCTTGCCTTATTCTTTTCTGTCTTATTAGAATCATCTATAATGTGCAAAGCTTATTTATTTTACACTGAATCAAAAAAATACTGACAATAATTGGGATTGGGAACTTCACTAAGTAACATGGTTATAGGGCATGGCATCGCGTCTCCCTGGACTTGACAGCGGTTCTGGTTACTTGCATTTCTCTGAGCATGGCCATGCTACAGATGACGCATGGTTGCAGTGTCCCATGATCACATGATCACCACTTGCAAAGTCCTGCTGGTTTTCTCATTGATTGTCAGAAGTCAGCAGAGAAGGTGACAAATGGAGATTCCATGACCCTGGGATGCTGCAATGTCACAATTCTGATCTGAGAACCTGAATTACAATCACATGACTTCAGGGATGCGATGACAGCTAATCCTATAAGCAGAGGTGGGTTGCTCCCAGTTTGGCTAAACTGGTAGTGGTATTTTGGCCTGGGTTGCAGAACTGGTAGCAACCCAGGCTGGCCATGCCCCTTAACCAGTTCCCTGGTTGCTGCTGCCATTGTTTAGAAGTGCATGTGTGTGCACTGTTCACTGTAAATTGCGCATGCACAAAGAACAATTTACATTGAGTTGAGCATGCACGTGTGAACTGGTAGTAAAACTGGATGCAACCCACTTCTGCCTATAAGGGCTATTACCAGAATTGATCAATCATCTTCATTTCTTTAGGAATAACCAAAGATCATCTAACAAACAGAACAAAAGTATCCTAATCACCTTCCTGTATCAACAAATTAGAAATCTGCTATAACGTATTCTAGTGAGCCAAACTGCAGGTGGGTGCGAATAATTTGTAAAACATAACTGTTCTGACCTGGAATGATATATAAACAGATCCATTTACATCTCAACATGAATGAATTTCTTTAATGCAATGTATGAATCCAGATACTGTTGGCAAAATGATCTGTGCCACCTTCAACATCACACAACAGGCTTATCATTGTTTATTTGCTGTGTGCCATCAGAATAAGTATTTTTCTACTTGGATTCTAACTGTGTCTCAGCCTGCTGAAGATCCTTATGACAGCCATTTTTAGAACCTTCCATATTAAATCTGAAAGCATTTTCAACAAATGAGGCAGGGGAATAACTAGGCAAATGCACCTTACACCAGTACAATCTCAACATAAGATATAAGCCCTCTGAATTAGCATTCTCAAAGTTTAAACTTTATTGATTCTAAATTGTATATAGGTAATCCTCGCTTACCAATTGCCTTTTCTAACAATTATTTGAAATTATGACAGCTGGGAAAAAACCAGTTTGCAACCAATCCTCACATTTATGACCTCACAATATCTTGTGGTCACATGACTGCCATTTAGACACTTGCAAATGATGCACATTTATAGTCATTGCAATGGCCCATGGTCATGTGATCACCATTTACATGCTTCATAAATGCCTTCCAACAAGTAGAATCAATGGAGAACACAGAAGTGAAATCCCAAGTTGCTGTCATATGATGGCTTGGTCAATGATGGAAGCTGAAGTGAGCTGAAGTCCAGTGAGGCCACTTAGTGACTTCAGAGCTTTGCAATGGAGTTGCTGGTTCCAGTGATTATTAAGTAGACTATCTATAATCCGTTTGAAGGATATTCTGCTTTTCCCCTAAATCTGAGATCTGGAGAAAGTGGATTTCTGTTTATGTCCAGAATATTCCAAACCATTTTCATTTTGGAATATGTATCATTGGAAATGGATGACACTCTCTTCCCGTATTATACCTTATTCCATTGGAGAAATAAAACTTCCAAGAAATACTAGAGGATTCTGAAAATAAGCATGCTGTTTTTTGCATCTCTAGTTCTGATTCAGATATCAAGTAAAAATTTGCAGGAATTTGAGAGGGGATGGATATTACAAATAAGTCAGAAGGAACTACCCTATTCTGATAAATTTTGTTTACTTCACTCTTACTACCTAAAGGCCATGCACTAAATCACTGGAATCTCATTTTGTACACAATGTGGTGTGCCACACAACATCACAAATATTAATGTAGTTTAGCTTCAAACACAATATTTACTTGCTTTGAATTCTATTCATTTTTATCTAATTCTTCTTTTAAAATAATTCTGTAGCTTAAATTTATTAAACTACATAAAAAGGCCCTTAGTTCAATTTACTAATCCTGGGATGGCGAACCTATGGCACGAATGCCACAGGTGGCACGTGGAGCCATTTGTCAGGGCATGTGTGCACTAGCCAGCTGATTCCAGCCTTTTTTAAGGCCATTTTTGCTCTCCCCAGGCTCCAGAGGCTTTATAGGAGCCTGGGGAGGGTGAAAACAGCTTCCTCCGCCTCCCCA